TTTATTCATATATCATCACTCTTCTTCTAATAGACTCTTTTTTTTCTAATTTCTTGACAGGTCATTATGTTTCGACAATTAACTTTTTTTGTGCAATAGACTCTAATTTTAATTTTTGTATTTAAAAAATTTAAATATTTTTTAGTACTAGATTTATGATTTAAATTTTTAAATTTTATTTTAAAAAAATTACACTTATTTATTAGTAAGTTAAGTTTTTTTTATTGATAATAAATAAAATTCTTGAGTTATTAGTTAGATAACATTTATAGATGTGTATATATTATTTAAATTTAATAATTATTGCTTTTATAATTTACGTAATGATTTCATTTAGACATAGATACGTGAATCATATTTCTTTTTCTTTTTTTTTTGATCACTCGGTATTCAAAAATTCATTGGGTTACCAACTAATTCGGATTCGAGTCGGACAAGACTCAATAGGCGGCAAAACTCTCCCTCACAAGTTTTGACAGAATTACATTTTCAAAATTTAAAATTAAGATCTCTAATTAAATTGAAAGAGTTTCCTATCAACTTATATAAGTATAGGTCAATCATATTTCATATATTTATATATAATTCTAAATTTTCAATCGTCTTTTGCTTTTCTCTAAAGGGCGCACTGAAAACGAAAGGTGAGAAGAGTGTAGGATTTTCAAGTTAAGGTGAGTGTTAAACACTCAGTCTATACGAGTTCTAAATTCTTAGGTTGGGACATAAGGCAATTTGAGGTATTAAAAAAAAGGTAGAATATTTAAATCCATCCCTAAAGTATAGTGGGAAGGACAGATTCACCCCTAAACAAAAAACGGAGACAAATTTACCTAGAAAATTTTTGACTTGGACAAATCACATCAAATTTAACGTGTAACATCATCTGACATTAGCAATTTGTTAATTTGATATCATCTAATGTCAACAATCTGTTAATGAATTAATGAATTGTTGATGGTAGATGATGTCACATGTTAAATTTAAAATGATTTATCCAAGTTGAAAATTTTGTGGGTAGATTTGTCTCTATTTTTTGTTTGGAGGTGGATGTGTCCCTGTCACTATATTTTGAGAGTGGATTTGGGTATTTTGCCTTAGAAAAATATGTAACAAATTAGGTGATTAAAATTATATAAAAGTATAAAATTAAAAGATCAAGATTGACAAATCTGATTTTCAAATGTATTGATTCATCTTCAAATTTTAGTGATTAAATTTAATTAATCGAGAGTTTAACTTTCATAAATAATTTAAAATAATTAATTTTTTAATCCCAAAATTCTCTCATGTTAAAAAAAAAAAAAAGAGATCAAAATTAATACTTAAATATAAATCTCAATTTTACGCCTTTTCCATAATATCTATCACTTGATTTTTTTGCACATTACTTTACAACCTCAACCTGTATGGAAAAGAAGTGTAAAAATAGTTTATAAATTATTTAAATAATTTTAATAAATCTCCATTCATATTATTATTTGATCAAAAATAAATAAATAATTAATTAATTCAATAAATATTCTTACACATTTTTTATAAGTCGACTTAACAATTCATAACCTTATTAGTAAAAACAATGTAAAGTGAAACAACGCTACCATAAAGAAGGGCCATGGTTAATTACCGCCACACCACGCTACTATAAAGAAGGGCCATGGTTAATTACCGTCACACCAAACATTTGCTAAGATCATACAACTATATTGTAAATGATTTTTTTTAAGTACATATTAAAAATGTTTTATTATTATAAATAAATATATAAAAATATAAAAATAAATATTAATTTTAATATAATTATTAAATAAATAAATTTAATTAAATAATTAATAAATTAAAAATTAATTTTTATTTTTTGATATATATATTTATAATAAAAATATGTATTTATTACACTTTTAATTTATATATTAAAAATATAAATTAAAAAACTTATTATATTTATATATTTATTTTAATTGATCTTATTAATTTATAAGCAATTAATAACGTGTTTGAAAATATCAGTAATTTTACATTGACATTGAAACTAAACACACCAATAAAATTTTGGTTACTTTAACAGACCAATAATTTTTTATGTGGCAATGACCCTCTCAGCGAAGAAGAGAAAGAGGGGGTGTTTTGGTCGGGGCATACTCTTCCCCTAAAGTTTTTAAGATTTTTTAATAAAATTATTTATATATTTTTACACATTAATATTATAATAAAAAATAAAATTAATTTTTATAATTTTTAGTTTTTTGACATAATTTGTAACCCAATTTGTAAAATTTTCTTGTTACTTCTTTTGAAAAGAAGGGTAAAATTCATATTTTAAATTTTTATTTTTCTTAACACAATTTCAAACCTAAATGATAAAATTTATTTTTCACTTATTTTAAAACGAAAAATTTTTTATAACTCTCTTTATATTTAATTTACTTAATAATTTTTTTATTAATTGTTTATATCAATTTTTTATTAAATATAATCAAATTAATAATTTAATAAAATTTTAACTTTTATTTTTTTTAATATAATTTCAAACCTAAATTTTAAAATTAACTTCTCACTTATTTTAAAAAGAAAAGGGTTTCGTAACTATTTTTATATTTAGCTCAATTAATAATTTTTTTTATTTTTTATATTAATTTTTTTAAATATAATAAACTTAATAATTTAAAAAAAAATTAATAAAATTTTATTTCAAAATTAAATTATTTTTTATACGATACTTTTTAAACTTTTTGTAACATATTTCATTAATTATTATTATTTTTTTTATTTTTGGAAAAAGTGGCACCACACCAGTAAAGACACAGAGTAAATTTGGGTGGACATGAGTGGATGGATGGATGGGTGGACCCAACATGAACCAACTAAATGATTGTACAAATTGACTATGACTTCGGGGTTGCACCCCTTTGGACTTAAAATCACCCGAATTTGGAAGCATCCACGAAACAGCGTAGAAGCAACGGAGATAACGCTCGGTGGTGTAGCCCGTCCCTTTCTCGACATCCCCAACATGGAGAGTGGCAGCAGCAGCAAGAAGAGGAAGATTTCCCAGGTCGACCAAGTCGATGACGATAATGAAGAAGAAAAGATAGAGAAGTTCTTTGCTCTCATCAAGAGCTTACGGGAGGCACGCGAGCAGCTGATGAACTGCAGCGCCGATGCAGGGAAGAAGGAGCTGGTTGATAACAAAAGAATGAAGAGTACTAAACTGGAAGAGCCGTCCTTTCGAAGTGAAGATTTCATCGGAGTGGCTCCGGTGAAGGAATTAGCTCCCGCCGGCTTGGTTGGTTCTTCTCAAAGATCGGAGAAAGAAGAGAAGGCCAAAGAAGTGTTGGATCTCAGCCTTTCACTTTAGTATGTATGTAGGCCAAATGTAGAGGAGACTATAGCTACTAGCAAGTCACTAGGTAACTGGCATGTCATCCTTTTCAATTAGTTTGGAATTAGATTTTATATATGTATAACATGCTTTTGTTTATTGAAACTCGATCTTCTTATATCTCTAATTATAATATATGGTAGTCAAAATCATCAAAATTTGATTTCTTGGGAGAGGCAATATGAGAGTAATTTTGTGGTTGATCAAGCCATAAAACTAAGTGTAAGCTTTTTTTTAAAAAAAAAAAAATTCTTTTAAGTAATTTCAAGGGAAGGGAACTGGAAAATTCAGTATTGGGAAAGATGAGAGAGAAATTAAATCCCAAGTTCAAGCCTCCACTCGAGGAAGTCTTTCTTGAGAGAGACGTATCCATCTCGCTTTTTCATCCCCATAGTTAATAAGAAGCTTACCAGACAAGGTACTGGTGGAGGGTAATAATGGAGAGACAATGAAAAACTTTTGGAATGGTCAATTTTGTAAGGAAGATGACAATGTTTATTTTTTATTTTTTTATAAGTTGTGGGCATATTAGAAAACTGTATCATATAATAAAAGACTTTTTTTTTTCTTTCTTCATCATTCTTTATCATGTCAACACGTTTGGTATAGAAAAAAACTTTTCTTCTTTATTAAGAAAATTGTAGCCCATGGATATTTTAAAATTTTTATGCTTTAATATTACAATAAATATAAAGGACAAAATCAATATTTTTATTATTTATTTTTTAACACAATTCTCAAATAACTTTTTTTACTATAGAACACACTTAACAATTTAATTTCTTTTAACTTTTTCAATATTACATTCTCATCAGATATATAAAAATTTAACAATTTTTAATAAAAATT